TCAGGTGTGGGGTTTGTTTTGACTGTGTAATTCCAAATTCCAGTCTTACCAGTTCCTCATTGGAGGCTCAGCTGGTTAGAAGGGAGCTTCACATGCATTATGAGGAATAAGAGAATGACCTTGACGCAATTGTACTTCTCAGAGTGTAGGGTATCTTTATGCTGGAGTGGGTCTCTGGAGAGTCACATACCTTGTTGGCAAAGTTGGGCTCCACCACGTACTGCTTCTCATTTTCAACAGCACCTTCAATGGTGATGAAGAAGATATTGATTCCTGACTCTCTTGCAAGTCTGGAAGCTTCCTCCACTTTGTCTGTGGGCCAGCCATCCACTAGCACCACAGCCACATTGGGGGCACCACCCCTGTTTCCATTGACTTTGGAAAAGAAGTTCTTGGTCACAAAGGAGATGGCTCGGCCTGGACAACAAAGAAAAGTCATGCTTGGAGTGACCACGCCAATTACAAATACAAGAATAGTTCACAGAAGTGCACGGAGGTCCAGAAATGCATGGATTGCCTCCCCAGCTTGTTTTTTCAAAAGCCACTTTATTTTTACCGTATAATTCAGTGGCGTTAGGCACGTTTCATAATGGTATGCAGTTACCATCATCATCACTGTTTATTTCCCTCCCCATTTTCATTTTTGGCTTTTAGGTTCTAACTGTCTCATTTATTTATTTATTTATTTTTTTGCTTTTTAATTTCTTTTTCCCCCCAAAGAAACCTTTTATTTAAGGAATACAGACTTCGTGCATTTCATAAATATAACTTTAGGAATATAGTGGTTCTTCCCAACATACCTGCCCTCCCACCCCTCCTCCTCCTTCCTCTCCCATTCCCAGTCCCATTATCCACAAAGATCTATTTTCATTAACTTTATACACAGAAGACCATCTCTACACTAAGTAAAGAGTTCCAACAATTTGTACAGTAAAAACAAACAAACAAAAAACCAAAACAACAAAAAGCTGTTCTTTAACAGTCAAGACAAGGGCTCTTCAAAGTCATTGCATCTTGGGGTTAATCTCACTTCTTTCCGATTGTCTCTTACTTTGAAAAAGTTTTAGGGGCCAGCAAGTAGGTGAGAAAAACTTTGAAGACATCAAAAGAGCCACTTCTGTGCCTGGGCTAAGTCCCTACACTGGCCCTATGTTGTTTCGAAGAACATGGAGTGGGAGGAGCTGATGTGCAGTGACAGTAGCCTCATCTTGGCCTTCTGCCAAGTGCCCATAGGAGCCAATGAGCCCAGTGCCATAGGAGCAGTTGGGTGTGGAGGGCAGTCTTGTGTGGTCAGTGGTGCCTGTTCTCAAGTGCCAGGCCAGGGGCACCGATCTGGCTGGCCAGCCAAGAGCTACACCCACTAGGAACTGAAAAACTGTTCTATAGCCCCGACCACACCACCTACTAGCTATGAGGTCCTGGGTAGACTCTAGATATTGGGACCAAAATTTCCACGGCAACAGTCTGCTTTAGGTATTATACAACCTCCTGATGTGCCTTTCCCAAATGCAGATTTCACACTGTGCAGTAACCTCAGGAAAATTTCAGAGTCAACTGAAATGACCAACTGTCCCAGTTTGCTAAAACTGTCCTAGTTTTAGCATTGAAAGGCCCAACTTCTCCTGGGTAAACTGGGATGACTATGGGCCTGGAGTCAGCCTGCCTGCATATACAGGCTCTTACCCTGGGCTCTGTGGGCCCTCGGACACTGAGCAGAACTGCCCTGAAGGTATAAATATATTTTGTGCATTTAAGCAAGTATCTGGGTAGAAGGACTATAGCTGTCAGCAGATTCTCAAAGAAGTCCTCTATCTCAATAAAAGTTAAGCACCTTCTTTAAACTGTAGGATTAACAGTACACTCAGTGGTTTCCTGGTTTTGGCTTGCATCCTAGTTCTACTGGCTGGTAGACTGTTACTTGTCACCTGAAAGATTCAAATGGTTATATATGGAGTTGCTAGAGAAATGTCTTGGAGAAACCATGTGTACTGGCTGCACAGAACCCTGCTGCTGAGAACTGTTTTCATAGCCAGAGGATACTTTTCTCTCAAGGCCAAAAGCACCCAACATCTGGAGGCCATGGTAAATTTTGGCTCAACACACATCCCATCTACCTCCCTGTCAGTCTAGAAAGCAGAGGCTGGAGGTCTGACAACTACCTCGTCCAGATTCCCTTGCAGGTAAGGTTCTAGTTTTCTTTTAATTCCTTGAATTGCTACACTCACATGACGTTTAGAAGGTAAAAGTGAGGCAGAGGTGATATTTTGCTTGTGCTATTTCTGCCGACAGGTATCTGTAGAGTTTTTGACTTCTCTGGGGCACTTGTATGTAGCAACAGAGGTGCTTATGTTTGGTTGCCAGCTTTGATGGTCCCGTGGGTGACAGGGCACAGAGCATCCATTTTGTGGGTGTGAATGGGTCAGATAGGGCATGATTTTGGAGCTGGCAGCTGTAGCAGAAGGCTTTCTTGCTGAAGCAGGTTCCTGAAGAGGTTGCACTGGCACAATTCAAGTGCGATTTCCTGATCTTGGAAGAGGTAGCAGCTCCCTTGGAGGTCTTAATGCTGCAAGAAGCCTAGAGTTTGCTTCTTCAGCCTTTTCAGTAATTCTCCAAACTATTTAATACCCCAAAACAAATTCCTTTCTGTTTTCACCAATTGAATGGATTCTGTTCTCTGAACCCAAATCGTAAACAGTAGAAAGGCAGAGTTCAAACATGCCACCCATAGAAAAAGGTATGCTAATTGGATTAAAGGCACAACTCTAATCTCATCAAAGAAATATGCCTTCTGAGGTTTTTGTCCATTGGAATGTAGGCATTCAGTAAAAAACGAAATCAGATACAACTGTATCAAGTTTGTGATGAGGGTAATATTGATTTGGGGGCACATAGTAGTGATTTGGCTAGTGTGCATTTAGCATTGTTCAGCGGTAAACAGCTCTGCATTTGTCAGATACTAACATTCTGATCACTATGGAGCTGTACATTGAGATGGAAAGGGAACTGACTGACCAAATTCAACTGTAACTCTGAGGATGCTTCCTCAAAGACATTTCTATCCCTTGCCTTTGCTCCATGTCAAGCAACTGTGCTCACATCTCCATTTCTTTGGACTTTGATGATAGGAACAGGTTCCCTGAGAAGTGGACAATCAGCTTCCCTACCCCAAATCCCCAAAGCCAGTCAAACGCTTATACTTCCCTTATACAAAGAGCCCTTGGCATGGGCTCTTTGGCAGTCTTTGACCTTGGTTAGTGTGAAACTGTGCCCAGTCACCTCTGGGTGAACTGTTGAAAAAGAGTTTCTGCCCCTACTGAGGACTAGACTTTGGACTTCAGGTGACTGTCCCAAAAGCTCATACAGCACAGGTGACTAATGTTGAAACAGAGAATGCATCTTTGCACAGTCATCATCACTACAACAGTAGCTGAGAGGAGCAAGACTCTCAAGGACAACTAAGGGGCCTCTTGAGTGGAATTGCTCACAAAACTTAGTATTAAATAGCTTGCAACTTATGGGGCAACCTACAAACACAACAGCCATCCTGCTTGTCCTGAAGGAAGCTGTCACCCCAGGGGGCCAGGTACTAGGCCTCTGTGTGTCCTCGTGACTCTTGTCCATGAATCCATGACAATTCATTGGGAACGATCTAGCTGTTATATGAGACATTTATGGACAATCTATTATTATGTTTTCCTCTTTTGATATAGAATGCTAGATGACAACAACATAGATAGAGCAAGAGCATGGTAGCAAGATAGAATGATCTGAATGTGGACCACTTACCTGCATTGGAAAGCCCTCCTCTCTGGGTTATTTTCTCTATGGCTGCCTTCAGATCCCGGGAATTCATATGAGTCTTGAGGCTAAACTGGGTAGCAGGGTTGTCTCTGAAGAGTCAGAACAAGCAATAACAATTAGCTGGAAAGTGAGTACCTTTGCAAGAAAGCAGAAATCATAGTTGATTCTTTTATAAATGAACAGAATGGCAGCTGGAATGGGGTTTGTGAGGTGTCCCATTGGGCACAGAACTAACGGGAAGAGAGGAGGGCTGGGCTCCTCCTCAGTGCGCGTGGAGGAAAGCTGGCTATTTCAGGACTCAGAGGTGTGTGTTCTACTTTGGAAGGTGCCGTGTCCTGGCTGTGTGATGGTGAAACGACACCTAACTTCTCCTTAACCTCTCTCGCATTCAGTTTCCTCATCTAGATGAAACCATCATAGCATCCTATTGCCAAGGAACAGGACTGGGGTCAGGTGGCTTTTTGTAAAAGTACAGATCCCACCTATTGAATGCTCAGTGTCCCTAGGCTGCCCCAGACCCTCCTCTCCAGGAAGAAAATGTCAGGAGTCAGCGACTTCCTGGGTGACCCTGGCACTGGCATTGCTGTGAAGAGTGGTGCCAAGGGGAAGCCTCTCCCTTTCTAACGTGTGCTCCCTGTGACTGAGGGGGACCACTCCAACCTCAGCCAGCAGGCCAGCCTCTGTTTGGCTAAAGGCTGGAAAAGACCAACTGGAGAGGAGTTGGGTGAATTCAGTGGGAAAACAGAAGGAGAATCCCCTGGAGATGAGTCTCCACAGGTTAGCCATGAGAAGAAGCTTGGGGACTGCTGAGCAGGGGATGCAAAATAACTTTCATGACCAGGTGGAGGAGTGCAGGGGTCCCTTGGCTCTGTTGGGTGGCATATGTGCACCCACACCCAGGAGCAGATGGAGATGCACGCTGAGCTCACGTCGCCTGAAGCACGTCCCTCAGCTCCAGGCAGGGCCTCTGGAGTGTGGGACCTGTGCAGCCACAAGGGGCCCCAGTCTCCACAAGGACCTACACCAAGAATGGCCTGTGCCAGATTTAATGCTGTCTTGAAGGTCCTAATCATTGAAAAAAGATTTTTAATTACTTATTTGAAAGGCAGGGAGGGGAGGGAGGGAGAGAGGGAGAGAGAGAGAGAGAGAGGTGCCATATGCTGGTTCACTCCTCAAATGGACCAGGCTAAAGCCAGGAGCCCAGAACCCAGTCTAGGTCTCCTACATGAGTGGAAGGGACCCACATACGGGAGCCATCACCTGCTGCCTCTCAGGGTGCACTTTGCAGGAGCTGGAATCAGAAGCAGAGTTGAGAGTTGAACCAGGCACTCTGATACGGGATGTGGGTGTCTCAAGCAGTGTCTTAACCACTCTGCCAAATGCCCGCCCCTTTTAATCATATCTCCCATCAAGTACTAACCAGGCCCCACCCTGCTTAGCTTCTGAGATCAGATGAGATCGGGCATGTTCAGGGTGGTATGGCCATAGACTTAATCATTTCTGAACAAGGACATTGTGTGGCTAGTCTAGACTGCAAGTTACTAAGCCCTTCAGACAGGGAAAGGAGTCCTTTAAAAGCAGTCAGAGTAGATCCAGGAAGAAGTAGCTTTGGGCAGTTTCAGGTGGGAACTCTAGGGGGGCCAACAGCAGAAGGGTCCTTCCTGAGCCCCTGGGGCCTGGGACTGGCAGTGCAACCACCAGTCACCAGAACCTGCAAGAGAGGAGATATCCTGCCTACCTCCTCCTTTTCCAACTTTCCTATCTCAAGGTGATCTATTGTGCCCAGAAGGTGTGCTAACCTAATGGCAGTGCTGTAAAACTGGGAGTGCCAGTCACCTTCAGAGAAGACAAAGGAAATTTAAAATACATTCAACTGATGGGAGGCATTGGGGCAAGACCCGGGCAGATGAAATTTCACCTGATCAAAGACCAAGTTCCATGGTTACAATTAAACAACAGCAAGCAGCTTCCTTTCCAACTTGGGCCCTACAAGAGGACTCCTGCAAAGAAGGGTGGTGAGAAGAAGAACGGTCGTTTTGCCATCAACGAAATGGTGACCCGAGAATCCACCATCGACATTCACAAGTGCATCCATGCAGTGGGATTCAAGAAGTGTGCCCCTTGGGCACGCACAGATGTCCAGAAGTTTGCCATGAAAGAGATGGGCACCCCAGATGTGTGCACTGATACCAGGCTCAGGAAAGCTGTCTGGGCCAATGGAATAAAGAATGTCCTGTACCGCTTCCACATGAGATTGTCCAGAAAAACGTAATGAGGATGCAGGTTGGCCAAATAAACTCTCCACTTTGGTCACTTGTGTACATGCCATCACTTTCAAAAGTCTGCAGTCAATGTGGATGAGAACTGATGAAAGTTGTAAAACTGCCTTTGTGTTCTGCTTTTCCTTTTCTAGCTACAGCATGGTGTGTGTGTGTCCTAAAGCAGCACCTGATCGTTTGGAAAACTTCCTAAACAAGGATGCCTGTGTTCCCCTCCCCAGCCCCTGGGCTTGATTATTTGGACAGCGAGCGTCTAGCAGGTTGGAGATGGAAAGAAGGATGCTGATGCTTTCACTTGCATGGTTCAGTTAATTTTTTTTTTTTTTGGACAGGCAGAGTGGACAGTGAGAGAGAGAGAGAGAGAGACAGAGAGAAAGGTCTTCCTTTCCGTTGGTTCACTCCCAAAATGGTTGCTATGGCTGGTGAGCTACGGCCGGCACGCTGTGCTGATCTGAAGCCAGGAGCCAGGTGCTTCCTCCTGGTCTCCCATGGGGTGCAGGGCCCAAGCACTTGGGCCATCCTCCACTGCACTCCCTGGCCACAGCAGAGAGCTGGCCTGGAAGAGGGGCAACTGGGACAAAATCCGGTGCCCCAACCAGGACTAGAACCCTGGGGTGCCGGCGCCGCAGGCGGAGGATTAGCCTAGTGAGCCACGGCACCGGCCAGTTCAGTTAATTCTAAGATAAACTTTTTTTTCCAGAAAACATAGGTTTCAATTGCCCTTGGTCTCTTTCCACATTTTAATTAACAACTGTGTGATGGATAGGACCTTAGATTTAATGAAATAAAGAGCAGTGTAATCTTAAAAAAAAAAAAAAAAAAACACCAAGAGCAAGCAAAAAACAACACAGCAATCCCAAGTTTGGGGCTATCTGGACATTTGAGCGTGATCTTACAATGTAAAGTGCCTTGATCTGGGCTACTGTCAAAAATCGGAGAGAGGAGCCACACAGGGAGCATGGTGGCTTGCACGGTTCTTTCCCTTTGTCTTGAGAGCTTGTGGGTTTATAGATTTTTTTAATGATTTATTTATTTATTTATTTGAAAGGCAGTGTGACAGAGGGAGAGAGAGAGTGCGAGTGAGAGATCTTCCATGTGCTGGTTTACCCCCACTCTCCCTCCAAATGGCCACAGCCACCAGGGCTGAGCCAGGCCAAAGTCAAAAGCCAGGAACTCCATCTGGGTGTTCTAAATGGGTAGCAGGGGCCCCAGTACTGCTGCTTTCCCAAGCACATTAGCAGGGAGCTAGAATGGAAGCAGAGCAGCCAGGACTCAAACCGGCGTTCTGATATGGGATGCTGGCGTTGCAAGCACGGCTTTAACCTGTTGCACCCCAACAGCAGCCCCTGAGCTTATATTCTTACAGAACAATTGCAGTAAATGCGGAATTAGCCTCACAGTCATCCAGGTTCAAACCCTGCACTCCGTCTCAACCCATGTGATTCCAGCCTGCCAGTGCCGCATCTGTCAGGTCTTGGCATTCTCTGTATATCCTCACACACTTCCATTCCCTCCTCTGTGTTTCCATGGTGACAGCCTCCCCCACCAATTCAGGCCCCCTTTTTTCTGTCTGACTGTTATAAGATTCTCTGTGGTAACCTGTGCAGTGCCAGTTTTATGTTTATTGGATAGAGGACGCTTCCTTACGCTCAGTCTCGGTTCTGGCTGTAAAATTCCTCTACTCACAAATCATTGGAAGCTCTCATTGTTGAACTTCATATTCTGGCTCTCAAAGCCTCCATCGTTTAACTCTAACCCCTCGTGTTAATACTGGTCTCTCTGTTTCTCCCTGTCTGTCTCCCTGCCTTTTTCAGGGCATCCTATATTGCAGTCAGAGTGAACTGCTTGCTGTTTCTCAGGCTGCTAGCTCCGTGCCTTGCCCTCCTTCCCCCTCCTCTGCAAAGCCCTAACTGTGCACCACTCCAGGCTCCAGATACCTGTTTTCTTCACCCCAGCCTCAGAGGACAATCTCTGTGCCTGACTCAGCTTTCTCTAAGCACAGCATCTTGCACCGTCTTTCTTCACTCTATTTACTATGATCCCTGTTTCTAAATGTTGGTGTTCCCCAGGGTGCTGTCTCCATTGTGCGTCTCTTCTGAAGTCATATATGTCTTCTGAAGATCTTGTCATCTCCTGGAGTTCAGCAACCATCATGTACCAACAGCTGTCCTGCGGACTCTGGTGGGTCCTCTCTCTTGATGTGTATCAAATAGCTTACATAGCTCTGAGGGCAACTCAGGTTACATATTTCCAAACTGAAGTCATTTATCCTCCAAGTCTGCTTTACCTAGTCACCCATCCCTGCTTTAGTATTTCTTCTTCCCACTCATCCAGTGGGGGGGGGGGTAGGAAGAGAGTGAGCGAGTGAGAGAGAGAGTGAGCGAGAGAGCACTCCCATACACTGGTTCACTCCCCAAATGCCTGCAATGGCTGGAGCTGAGCTGGACCAGAGCAGGAAGCCAGGAACTCAATCTAGGTCTCTCATGTGGGCAGCAGGGAGCCAACTACTTGAGCCACTCCTGCTGTATCCCAGGTCTGCATTAGTGGGAAACTGGAATAGGGAGCTGAGACTTGAACCCAGGCACTCCAGTATGGGATCTGGGCACCCCAACAACTAGGCAGCATGCATTCTTGACTCACTAAATACCACGTTGTATTAGACTTATTTTTAAAGTATCTCTTCTCTCATCTATTACATCCCCAAGTTCAGACCTTCTTTTCCGATTGACTGCCATGCTTTCCTGCTCTGTTTTCTTGCCCCAGGGTGGCCTCCGCACAGGCTGTTGCATCTGATTTGTGCTAAGTGCATCACAGAGGCAGATTGAAGCAGGAAGCTAAGCTGCTTTATCTCAGGGATTTACTTTTGGAATTTTATGTTGTTTTCCTTAAGAAGGTCCCCAAACTGCCAAAGTTAAACTGTCCAAAGTCTAGCTCTTCCCCTAGTGATCAAGTTTTATGAACTTTCTCAGAGCCTAAAAAAATAGGTTGAAACAATAAAAAAAAAAAAACTACAGAATTAACAGTTGCAAAGTTTATATTGACAACCTGTGGTGAGCATTTGCTGCAGTGGTTAGGATGCTCCTGGCTCTGCTTCTGATCCAATTTCCTCCTAATGCACACCCTGGGAAGCAGTAGGTGATGACGGGTCAAGTGCTTGGGTCCCTGCCACCCGCATAGGAGACTTGGACTAGATTCCTTGCTCTTGGCTTCTACCTGGCCCAGCCCTGGCAGTTGCAGGCATTTAGGGAGTAAACCAGCAGATGGAAGATCTCTGTCTCTAAGCCTTTGAAGTTATAAATAAGAAAATAAGCAAAATTTTTTTAAAAATATAATTGTCTATGAGACATAAAACCTTAGCCACTTTATTGGTTGTAATTTTTTTTAAAGATTTATTTATTTTTTTGAAAGGCAGAGTTACAGAGAGCCAGAGGCAGAGAGAGAGAGAGGTCTTCCATCTGCTGGTTCACTCCCCAAATGGCTGCAATGGCTGGAGCTACACTGATCCGAAGCCAGAAGCCAGGAGCTTCTTCCAGGTCTCCCATGTGGGTTCAAGGGCCCAAGAATGTGGGCCATCATGTACTGCTTTCCCAGGCCATAGCAGAGAGCTGGATCAGAAGTGGAGCAGACGGGTCTCGAACCAGCGCCTATATGGGATGACAGCACTGCAGCAACGGCTTTACCCACTATGCCACAGTGCCAGCCCCGTAAATTTTTTTAACTTGCAAAAATTTCATTACATTTGGAAATGATTTATGAACTAAATTTTCTCACTTTGCAAGATTTCCTATGACAAGAAGTCAAAAGATAAATGTTGCAGACAATTTAACATCAAAAACATAAAATTCCCTTTCAAAAGACTTCACAGAAAAAAAGTGGTTTCTTTTTTCTTTCTTTCTTTTTTTTTTTTTTTTTTTTTGGACAGGCAGAGTGGACAGTGAGAGAGAGAAAGGTCTTCCTTTGCCGTTGGTTCACCCTCCAATGGCCGCCATGGCCGGCGCACTGCGGCCAGCGCACCACACTGATCCGAAGGCAGGAGCCAGATGCTTATCCTGGTCTCCCATGGGGTGCAGGGCCCAAGTACTTGGGCCATCCTCTACTGCACTCCCTGGCCACAGCAGAGAGCTGTCCTGGAAGAGGGGCAACCGGGACAGAATCTGGCGCCCCGACCGGGACTAGAACCCGGTGTGCCGGCGCCACAAGGCGGAGGATTAGCCTAATGAGCCGCAGCGCCGGCCAAAAAAGTGTATTTAATATGGAATCTGCTTATGCAGCTATTGTCACTATTCTTTTTTTTAATAGTTATTTTATGTATTTGAAAGGCAGAGTAACAGAGAGCAAGCGAGCGAGTGAGCGAGCTTTCCTCCACTGGCTCGCTTCCCAAATGGCTGCAATGGCTGGGGATGGGCCAGGCCAAAGCTGGGAGCCTGGGACTCTATCTTGATCTCCCACATGGGTGCAGGGGCCCAAGCACTTGCACCATTTTCTGCTGCTTTCCCAGGCCATAGCAGAGAGCTGGATTGGAAGTGGAGCAGCTGGAAATCAAACTGGCACTCTGATAGTGGACTCCTGGGTCACAAGCAGCTGGCCTCGTTACAATGTTCTTAATATTGATCATTGTGGTGGCTTTCTTAGTGTTGACCATTTTGTGGAGCGACTGATGATCACCTATCTCTTTCTCATGCTGCATATACACTTGAGTCTTGTTATTCTTGGCAGTTATGTTCTATAAAGCCACCAGGAACACTAAGTTAGAAAACAGTGAGTCACTACTTAGTGGAAATACATGCTTTGCCTCCCATGAGCCCCGGGTCACAACATTTTCCTCAACAAATCAATGGCTAACTTTGTTTTATGCATGTTTTTATTTGAAGACACTAAATTTAAGCTTCTTACAAGTATGTAGTATTTCTTTATAATAAAACATTAGCTGAGAAAGGTTTAACATTTTCCTCACCTAGGGCAGCATGCCTATAAATGTCTTTGGCTTTTAGCCTCACAGTGATGCTGTATGCTAGTTTTTTGTTTGTGTTTTTTTAATCAGCTGCCCATGAATTTTTACTTTAGTCTCTTTTTCATAGCCTCACCACATACTGTAGATGTTATTGGAGCACTTTTTGG